TAGAATAGTGTGTGAATGAAATAAAGAACTGGAGACAATGTAACACACACACACACACACACACACACACACACAAGTGAATAATCCTAATTAGTAACACAATGACAATGTGTGTGTTTGATTGTAACACAAACATATTGTGTATGTTTGCTTATTTGCCAATAGGTGTTTGTTTTTACTGGATCAGAGAACTTTTATCAGACTGTTCTGTCTAAACTTAACCTTTCAGACTTACTCAGAGCAATCAGCACTACCCATGTGACTTGTAACCTTGAGGTATCACTTGACCTACCATTGGAAGGCACTGCTGTCTACATCTTTGCACAATGTGTAACATTACATTTATACCTTTCATGACTAGAACAGGTGTTACCTCAATATATACAGTTAAGAAGTGTTATGGGATAGTGTATAGTATTTAGTAGTATATAAAGAATATATATAAGTTAATAAAATAATTTTATTTTTATCTCTCAAAAGCAAAGCCAATTCGAGCTGGTCATAACCCTGCAATGACTGGAGGACAAGGCATACGAGGAGGTGGGGGAATGGCCATGGATAAAATGTAAATATAAGTACTTGTTAATTAATTTTTTTAAAGCTGAATTTTAAAGAAGTATAAGTAAATACTAGAATTTTTTTTATTAATCATGTACAATATTAGTTTGGTGTGTTAAAAGTGTAATCTTGGCATTTATAATAGATACTTTGTTTTGTTACAGGGCAATGAACAGTATGAATGCTAGAGACACCAGAACTGTTGGAGGCAAGGCTTAATTGTATTTGTTCTGTAGAATGTAATTTTACGTATGACTTATTTTGACACTGCTTTTTATGGTAAACATTTATAATATTTAACCTTACAAAGAACTGCACAGGTTAGTCCCACCCACCTTTATGCCCATATGCAGGTAATTTGGTTACTAGTTGCTAAACATTTGAAGAACTTCTGAAAAATTAAAATATGAAATTTTGAAGTAAAATTTTATTAAATATATGTTGATGATAAATAACATTTTAATACTACTCAAAAGTATCCTGTACCCCCCAGATTTTGTATTTTTATTTATTGTATACCTTAAGAAACCTTAAAAGTCTATAAAAATATTTATTACAGAAAAACTATGATTTTTCTTTTTGTCTGTCTTTCCAAAAATAAGGGCATTCATAATTTTTGGATGTGTAAGTAAATCACTGACATAAAGAGAGAGAAAAAAAAAGCTGAAACATACAAAATGTTTTAGTAATACTACTATTTATTTCCTTTTTTTTCCCCCCTTTCTGCTGTTGAAGCAGTTAAATACTAACAAATAAGCACATTATTGCCCAATGATTATCATGAATATTTTGGGCACAAACTAATGAGTTTATATCTTGGGAGGCACACACACACACACCGACAAACAAGAACAATAAATTCAAGAAAATCATACTTATATTGTCACAACAAAGGCACTACTTATCAATTTCTAATACACATGAAGGAAATACTTGCAAGGATGTTCAAAATAAAGAAAAAAATACATTTTCTCTGGTAATGGACAAAGTACTGAAAGTTTTCTGAACTTAATTTACAAGGATAATTGTTATGAACATACTTCTCGTGCAAATAAAACAGTTTTAACTGTTATAACTACACTTAATTCGTTTTATCTGTAGAACTTATAATCATACCATAGATTCTTAAGTAACTAGCATTAATTGCTTGAATAATATTTACTGTTTTCCTGGTTTTTTTTCATATGTGAAGTTATTTTGAAAGTTTAGAACTCAACCTTGTTATTTGTTAAGTTTGCATTCAGTGAAGTTATGATCACTTATTTTATTTTGTAGAATACTATGGTTGTTAGCATAGTAAGCATATAGTGAATTTAAGTTATTTCTAAAATGAAGTAATTATCACTATAAAGTAGCTAAAAGAAATCGTTCCAAAATGCTGTTTTTATGCACCTCTGATTTGAAATCCAAAATGAACTAATTTTATGAAAACTGTCATAAAAAATGAGCAGTGAAATGTGGATTTGTACTATAATGGAACATTTTTATTTCTTAATAATGAGCTACATATGTATTTTACCTTATTTATGGGTTAACTGTAAGCATATTTTAGTATTATTGTGTAGATAATTATTGACAAAATGAATTGTTATTAAAACCACCTGCTTCTCAATGTTTTTTCAGAGCAAATGGAGTTTGTTTTACATAATGCCTAGACAGCAAGAACAAGCAGTAACTCTAGAAAATATTTTACTCTTTATATATATTGTCCTAATAGCTTTGTTTAGTACTTATTTAAGCATTACATAATGAAACTTCCATGGAAAAATGTTAAGAATTTAGGTTTTAAGCTATAGTTCAAGGTTTTTTCCTTTTTTTTTATGAAAATATTTATTTTTACCTTGAAAATAGATATTGCTATTTAAAAACAAGGATTACCATGTTATAAATGAATATTTGTTGGATTAAAGTATAATTGTATTTTAGGGAAGACTGAAGCTGAAGCTCTTGGATACAGGTCAACGAAGAAAGCCTCTGCATCTCCAAGGAATTCAAATGTTACTAAATGTAAGCTCGCTTTATTGTGCACTTTTGATATTCAGTGGAATCTATAAAACTTTTGTGTTGATTTACTTTATGTTATTATAAAATGACTCCTGCTAATATGAAAAAATTACAGGTTATAACCAGTATTTTGATTACAAATACTTTGTAAGTTTACGTCTGGAGGAAGGAAGTTAACATGTTTCCTAAAAACAAAATTTAAATGTGGTATAGTCTTTCTAAAACAAAAATGTAAAGGTTCCCAATGACAGTGACCTCATATGGTCTGTCTTTCTGAAACAAAAATTTTAAAGGTCCCCAATGACAGTGACCTCATATGGTCTGTCTTTCTGAAACAAAAATGTAAAAGGTCCCCAATGACAGTGACCTCATATGGTCTGTCTTTCTGAAACAAAAATGTAAAAGGTCCCAATGACAGTGATCTCATATGATTCGTCTTTCTGAAACAAAAATGTAAAGGTTCCTAATGGCAGTGACCTCATATGGTCTGTCTTTCTGAAACAAAAATGTAAAAGGTCCCAATGACAGTGATCTCATATGATTCGTCTTTCTGAAACAAAAATGTAAAGGTTCCTAATGGCAGTGACCTCATATGGTCTGTCTTTCTGAAACAAAAATGTAAAAGGTCCCAATGACAGTGATCTCATATGATTCGTCTTTCTGAAACAAAAATGTGAAAGGTCCCAATGACAGTGACCTCAAATGGTCCATTTTTTGAAATAAATATGTAAAGGTTTCCAAAGAAATGTTCAGAATCAGTGGGCAAAAAATGATGTTCAGGTTTTTGCAGTGGAAGAAAATTATCGTGATTATTTCACTTTCTTTGTATAAATAAAGTTAAGGGCAAAAAGTAGCAAGAATTAATAATAGGTTTTATTGAAATTTGTTAAATTTCATTCTAAAGCAAAATTATAAACTTATGGAAAGCCATATATAAAGTTAACATCAACTGGAGATATGAGAAAGAAACTGGGCAGTGTTAAAAGATTTGCCTTACACATAACGTTAGAATGTCTAGATGGTTGCTTCATTCAAGTGAGTTTCTAGTTATATCACTAATCAGCTCTTCATTTGTTAATAAACGAAACAATCCAAATTACCCAATTAAATTATTTTCAGCTTTTGATGTATATAAATGAAATAAGTACCTCGAATCTAAACCTTAGGCAGATCATTTGGTGGTAACGGGGATGCTCATAAACAATGAACTTTTTTGTTAATAATAGGCCTATGAAAGCTAGTGTTGTGTCTGTCTAGCTAGATCACTTGCTGATAAACAACAAAAAAACTTATTTTTAATTATCTACTAAAATAATTTTGTAGTAAATATAACCATGTATTCTGTGGAGTACAAAGAATCTTTGTTTCTTCAGAACAAAACCATATAGCCATTAAATCATGAAATAAGACTTTATTGAAAGTGTGTGTAGTATCATTCTGATTAAGGCCCTAAGGTTAAATAATGATGTATAATCTTTAATATTTAAGAACCACAATAGGGAATTTAAATAAAACTTGCTAAAAAATTTTTTTTCTAACAAAAGATGTTTTTTTCTTTCAGCACAAGAAAGAGGAGGACGTTAACAACTATCTGTGAACCTTATAATAGTTGACTCAACTATTTTTTGTTTCTTGATATCACCTAACCAGACAAGAATTTGGGGCAAGTCTTATGCAAAGAACAATAAGCCATGGATCTATCTAAATGAATGGGAAGCAGATCCTTTTAATTATCATTATAATGACAAAATGATACAACTTATGTAATATTTTCTTGTTCAGTATTTTTATGTCATTGTAATGTAAATATTGATGCTTGTGGGTTCTGATAAACATATTTAAGACAGAGTCCAGTTAGTGATTGATTAGGTTGTTCTGAGTTAAACTATATTCAAAATAGGATGGCAGTTTTGTTTCCTTTTAGTTCAGATGCTTATTTCCTGATTAATGTGGCTAATTAAATCTTTCTGTAATGAGTGTTGAAGCTTTTAGCATATTCGTTAACCTAGAAAACGACAACATGGAGTGCGATTGCTCTTTGTTGAATACACAAATAAAGGACACTTTCTATTGCAATACCATAGAAAAATGGTAGTCTTCAGTAGAAGTGGTTTTAAATTCCTCTATAATTGTGATATTTAATTGGTGTTACTGATGATAAGATCATAAGTATAAAAAGATTATGCCTATGTATATAAATGCTGTTAAGCTACACATGTCCCACATTTGATGGGGAGGTGAGAAGGTACTTTGAGTAATCCAGCTTATTTTTTTTCATTTTTCATTTAAAATGTACTTGTGGAACCTGTATCTGAGTCTAAAGAGTAAGGTACATAACAGGCTATTAGATAAAACTTGTTTTTTCCCTATAAGTACCTTTTTGTACACGTATTTTACTTTCGTTTCTTGTAATTCTTAATTTTAGCACTTAAATTGATAATGATGCTTAAAAACAGATATTTTTATCATTTAGTGTTGGTTTTAACAATTTTAATAATGCTAAACAGTTGTGATAGAGTTTGAGAAACTTTCAAATGACGGAATTATAATGTACTGTAAAGTGAGTTATGTATGAATGTGGTTCAAATACATATAACTGGACAGATATGTTCCTAGATGTTTGTACAAGATTTCTCCACTTGGTTTTCTCATACACCTTCTTAGATAATACAATGAAAACAATAATGGTTCAACTCAGGCAGAGAATTCATAATTCTAGTGAGTGTAGAATCCAACAGTTGTGGGTGAATACTAAGAATAATGAAATATAAAGCGAACTAAAATACAATTCTGATTACATAGTTCAAATTTTTACATCCTATGGACTAAATTTTATTAAGTTATAACTTAGAAGTTGCATTGTAACACTGATTAAGTACAGGAGAGAAATTTCTACTTTAGTCTGTAGTGTGATGAAGTAGAAGTTGTAACTTCTTACTGTTGTTCTTTGGTTTAATAAATAAAATCCAAATGTATACTTTCATATTGTGTTTTTGTTTTCATTCATTATCAAAACTGTGAAACAGTACTATCACTGCTTGATGCAGTACACTATTACTTAGTCATGCTTTTAATAGCACAACATGTGTCTAGTTCTTTTCACAACATGTCAACAGTACAACCTCAGAAGGGATGAATATTGTGTATATTGAATGTTGTCTTTAAAGATGTGAGTCAGCACAGTTTCTTGCAGGTTACTAGAGAATATTTGTCCATTTTTCAATAATTTTCTGTTTATAAGTTTAGTAGGCCTGGCATGGCCGGGTGGTTAAGGCACTTGACTCGCAATCTGAGGGTTGCAGGTTCGAATCTCTGTTCCACCAAACATGCTCGCCCTTTCGGTTGTGGGGGCATTATAATGTGATGGACAATACAACTAATCATTGGTAAAAGAGTAGCCAAAAATTTGGCAGTGGGTGGTGATGACTAGCTTCCTTTCACTGCTGAACTGGGGATGGCGAGCACATGTAGCTTTGTGCAAAATTGACAACATACCAAACTAAGTTTAGTATTTTATGTAACAGTTTTCAAGTTTCCATGCAAAGCGCTTTTCAGAGAACTCAAAAGCTTAATAACTTATCATTAAATTTTGCATCAACAGCCTTTCATCATAACAACCTAAACATAAACTATTGGTCTAATACAGCAACTTAATTTATGAATTTTTGGCAGCTCCTATATTACAAATGCTTGTAAAACAATGGTTTTGATTTATTAAGTCAATTTCCATTTTGAATTTGGGCATCATTTTAGGAGTTTAGCTTTTCACTTTTTTTGTCATACTCCTTAAATGTAGCAACATTGTTTGCTCTTTCAAAACATTTATTATGTATTAGAATAATCCACTCTATAGAACGCCCCCCAGTGGCACATTCTGCGGAGTTACAACGCTAGAAACGGGGTTTCGATACTCGTGGAGGGTAGAGCACAGATAGCCCATTGTGTAGCTTTGTGCTTAATTACAAATAAACTCTATAAAACAACTATGTTTCAGGTTCATATATCACGATACATTTATAGTAACTGAGTTTGTAAGTCTTTCAATTCTTCATATCTAATGTTTTGTGATTTACTTCTACAATTATAAGTATTTAGTTTTCTTAAACCAACATGATACCAGCTTTCTTAAAACATGCCATACTTTTAGAATCCTGACGTAATAACTCAAAAGCAACTTAGAGATTTTTAGACAATAACGCAAATCTTAATTCGAGTTACCAAGTTTTTTTTATCAATAAAATTTAAGACAAAACTTGAAAAGATTTAGTACTTGTCAAAAAAGGGTTTCTAGTTCAGTGGGACAGCAATAAGTCTATGGACTTACAACGCTAAAATCCGGGGCTCAAATTCCAGATAGTCCAATGTGGCATTGTTGTAAAAACAATCGAACAAAACCTAGGGATCTAATGTCTTTAACAACATTTGTAATTGCCAGGTGGAGAAGCCGTGGTTACAAATGAACTGACTCAAATGGCTATTTCTTTTAATCTCCTTCTGGAAAGGTCCAATGAATTTTTTAACGGTGATTGGCCAAAAATTATTTATAAAGTGGTTTCCTTAAATTATGATAACCATGCAAGAATAAGTGTCTAGCCTCATTAGCCTTTAATACCACCATCACCACTAATGCTGTTTCTCTGTGGTGGCCCTGGATCTGCCCTGTAGCATGCCAAACAATTGTACAGTCAGTGTTTCCTTTTTTTTTTCTTATCTTTAAATGCTTTTCAAAGTCCATCAACCGTGCACAGAAAAAGGTTTCCGTGGACCCATTTGAACTACTCAAAAGACATGGGATTTTGTACTTGGGACACACCTGCGAATCATGTAACATGAATTCGCGTTTGATCTATCATCTCGATGCTATGTCCTGATAGAGCCATACCTTATTAGTTTCGAATTCATACAAAGATGGTTTTTCTTCACAATATAGTGGTATCGACAAGTTAGTCTGATAGAATACAGAATTCATCTCTCTCCCTTTCTCTCTTTTTTTTAAATCTCTGGATACTTATCTTACCATTTATAGTTCTAACATGTAACAATCATAACTCCCTTGGAAAAACTTTCTCAACATGATCAGTATCATTTCTGAACTACTGTAATTTTATCTAAAACAAAGTTACTGAATAACTAAATTACTTATGTTTAATACAAGTGTAACATTGATATTATCAGCAATGATTTTTTTTGGTGTAAGAAATCCAAATATGGAAAAACAAAAAAAAGCTTAAAAGTTATTATAAAATAATTTCATATTTTATAATTTTTAAATATGAGATATTTTATGGGAAAAGTCTCAAAGTAAGGTTAATGGACCACACTAGCTTGGAAAGCAACTACATTTCACGTGTGCTCCCTCCTCTGGCGCAGCCTTGATTAAACGTGAAATATTTTTTTTTTATTTAGATTAGTATGCATATGTTAACGAAATTTGGCAGATTATCAGTTAACATTACAATGCTTTCATACTCAAAATATAATTTTTTATTGATTCTTAAGCTTTCTTAAGCAATGTTTTTCTCATACCTATTTTTTTTTCTTTTCACATGTTACCTATCCAACATGCAAAGTAATTTTCATTTTAATATTAAAAATATTTTTATGCATCAGAAAAATTTCAAATTTCACATGCGAAATCTTTATAATGTCCAGATAGTTATCAAACGTTTCACGAAGAAAAACTTTATATTTTATCAGTTATTTTCACTAACAAATCTCTATGTGTTCGATAGATTTGACCTCATAACCGACATAAAAATTAGGAAGTCAATATAAATTATGCTTCTTTCGTTCTAGAATGACTACAAATTACGCATGTACGAAAACGGGCACCTGCGCGCGCATGTACGAAAATGAGCACTTGCATGTATGAAAATGGCCACCTGCGCGCGCAAATACGAAAATGAGCACCTGCGCGCGCATGTACGAAAATGAGCACCTGCGCGCGCATGTACGCAAATGGGCACCTGCGCGCGCATGTACCAAAACGGGCACCTACGCGCGCATGTACGAAAATGGGCACCTTATAATAGTTGGTTGACTCAACGATTTTTTGTTTCTTGATATCACCCATCCAGTCAAGAATTTGGAGCAAGTCTTATGCAAAGAAGTCTTATGCCATGGATCTATCTAAATGAATGGGAAGCAGATCCTTTTAATTATCATTATAATGACAAAATGATACAACTTATGTAATATTTTTATGTCCAGTATTTTTATGTCATCGTAATGTAAATATTAATGCTTGTGGGTTCTGATAAACATATTTAAGACAGAGTCCAGTTAGTGATTGATTAGGTTGTTCTGAGTTAAACTATATTCAAAATAGGATAGCAGTTTTGTTTCCTTTTAGTTCTGATGCTTATTTCCTGATTAATGTGGTTAATTAAATATTTCTGTAATGAGTGTTGAAGCTTTTAGCATATTCGTTAACCTAGAAAACGACAACATGGAGTGCGATTGCTCTTTGTTGAATACACAAATAAAGGACACTTTCTATTGCAATACCATAGAAAATGGTAGTCTTCAGTAGAAGTGGTTTTGAATTCCTCTATAATTGTGATATTTAATTGGTGTTACTGCTGATAATATCATAAGTATAAAAAGATTATGCCTATGTATATAAATGCTGTTAAGCTACACATGTCCCACATTTGATGGGGAGGTGAGAAGGTACTTTGAGTAATCCAGCTTATTTTTTTTTCATTTTTCATTTAAATCTTATTTAACGTATTTTACTTTCGTTTCTTGTAGTTCTTAATTTTAGCACTTAAATTGATAATGATGCTTAAAAACAAATATTTTTATCATTTAGTGTTGATTTTAACAATTTGAATGATGCTAAACAGTTGTGATAGAGTTTGAGAAACTTTCAAACGACGGAATTATAATGTACTGTAAAGTGAGTTATGTATGAATGTGGTTCAAATACATATAACTGGACAGATATGTTCCTAGATGTTTGTACAAGATTTCTCCACTTGGTTTTCTCATACACCTTCTTAGATAATACAATGAAAACAATATGTAAAAATAGCGTTTCATATCTATCTCTTGTCTTCCGAAATCCACTATCCACAAGATTTTAAATTTTGGTATTTGTGACAAATAAAAAATAAGCAATTTTCAAATTCCCCAAGAATGCTTACGGAGTTAGTCAGTGTCGTATGACTTTTTTGTCTCTTTCTCTCTCTCTTGTCTCTGGTGGTTAGGGCGAACTGGGGATCGCGGGATCGAATCACCTTCACCGAACATGCTTGCTCCTTTTAGCCGTGGGGATGTCATAATGTCAATCCTATTATTCGTTGGGTGTTTTTGACCAGTCTTCCTTTCTTCTAGTCTATCACTTCTAAATTAGGGATGGTTAACGCAAAAAAAGCCCTCGAGTAGCTTTGCGCGAAATTCTAAAAACAAACAAATAAATAAACAATCAAGAGGTATTACAAACACAACGTACAATCAATTCCTTCGATACCTGCAAGTTGGTTAGTTCAATACATATACATATATATGTACATTTGTTCAGAGAATTACGTATTTTTTTGTTTCAAAACACAGTTGTCTCTGGGGGAATACTTTAACCAAAACGTAATTCTTTTAAATAGTTTACCTATTCTGTGAACAAATAAATATATAATATTCGTTACAAAAACACAGTTGTCTCTGAGGGAATACTTTAACCAAAACGTAATTCTTTTAAACAGTTTACCTATTCTGTGAACAAATAAATATATAATATTCGTTACAAAAACACAGTTGTCTCTGAGGGAATACTTTAACCAAAACGTAATTCTTTTAAACAGTTTACCTATTCTGTGAACAAATAAATAGATAATATTCGTTACAAAAACACAGTTGTCTCTGAGGGAATACTTTAACCAAAACGTAATTCTTTTAAACAGTTTTCCTATTCTGTGAACAAATAAATAGATAATATTCGTTACAACATCGATGCGACTTAAACATTGGGGAATCAAATCCAAA